GTGGGGGGAGTTTAAAGAGGAGATCAAGAGAATCAGCATAAAACACAGTAAGGGGAAAAATATGCTTGATAGAAGAAGGGAGGAAAGGGTGAGGGGAGAGTTGGCCAAAGAGGCAGCGAAGATAGACAAAGAGATAGGGAGAGATTTAGGGAGATACACGAGGATCAAGGATGAGCTAGAGGGTATAGAGAGGGACACATGTAGGGGGGTGATTGTTAGAAGCAGGGCACAAAATGCAATGGAAGGGGAAAGGTGTACTGGGTATTTTCTGAGTTTGGAAAAAATGAAGCAGGAAAACAAATATTTAAAACAGGTTGAGGGAAAGGATGGTAGGAAAATAACAGATTTAGTCGGGATAGCAGAAAGAGTGGAGGAGTTTTACAGGGAATTATTCAAGACAGAAGAGGCGGATAGAGAGAGTGTAGAGACGGCGATAGACACTATGGATAAAGCTTTAGATGATAATGATAGAGAGATGTGTGAGGGAGGGATTGGTGCAGGAGAAATTGATTTAGCAATAGTAGGGTTGGGTAGAAATAAGAGTCCGGGGTTAGATGGGTTAACGGCAGAATTCTACATCACTTTTAAGGAACTGTTGGTGCCGGTATTGCACAGGGTGTTCAAACGCATTGAGGAGGAGGATGACTTGCCGACCAGCATGGCAACCGGGGTTATAAGTATCATTTACAAAAAGGGTGATAGGGACAGGTTAGAAAATTACAGGCCGTTAAGTATGCTTAATAATGATTACAAAATATTGGCGAGGGTGTTAGGAAATAGAATAAAGAGGGTAATTGGAACGGTTGTGGGTGGGACTCAGGCGTATAGTGTACCGGGGAGGGTTATAAGTGACACGACAAGCAGCATCAGAGATACTATTAGACATATGAAGGAGGGGAAGGGTGGCATAGTAATGAGCCTTGATTTAAATAAAGCGTTTTGATCGTGTCAATCATGAGTATTTATATAGAGTGTTGGGGAAAGCAGGGTTTGGGGTGAAGTTGGTGGGTTGGATAAAAAGATTATATAGTCGGGCGGTGAGTTGTGTTAAAATAAATGGGATTGTCACAAACGTGTTTAGGTTGGGGAGGTCGGTCAGGCAGGGATGTCCTCTCTCCTCAATGCTGTACGCCTTGTCCGCAGAGCCTTTAGCAGCCATGCTAACTAAGAACCAAAACATCAGAGGGGTGGAGATACCGGGGGCACAGATTAGTCTCCTGTACCAGTATGCGGATGACACCACGGTCACGGTTAGGGATGGGGATAGTGTGAGAGAAGTGTTAGAGGTAGTGCAGCAGTATGGTAGAGCATCAGGGGCAAAGATCAATATAGAGAAATCAGAGGTCATGTATATAGGTGAGGGTGAGGTAGATAGGACAGGAATAGGGCTCAAAGAAAGGAAAGATTATTTTAAGGTGCTGGGTGTTAATTTGGGTATAAAAGAAGTGGAGGGGAGGGATGAGCAATATGAGGGAATCATCAACAGGATGAAGAAAACGTTAAAGTTTTGGAAGATGAGGCATTTAAAGTTAAGGGGGAAGGTAGTAGTGATAAATGGGCTCATAATGAGCAGAATAATCCATGTTCTGAATGTCATGGAAATGCCTGAAAGGGTTCACAAAGAAATAGATATGGCAATAAAAGAGTTTTTGTGGGAAGGGAAGGGTGTCAAAATTGCTAGGGAGGTGATGGAGAATGAGTATAGGGATGGAGGGATGAAGCTCATTAATCTGGAAAGGAAAAAGAAGGCGCTGAGGGTCAAAATGATATTAAAATATGTTGGTGATAAGGAAGATAAAAAAGATTATGCGTGGAAAGTATTTTTAAAAGAAGCAATTAATAAGTGTGGAGGCTGTGGTGACAGCGCCTTATTCATGGCTTTGAGAAAAGAAATGCTTAATGACGTTTCTGGGTACCACAGGGAGGCTTTATTAGCATGGGGTGAGTTTCTAAAAGGGGTGAAGCATAAGTGTGTGAATGTTGAGCAAGTGTGGAATCAGCCCATCTTTCTAAACCAGATGATCACGGTGAAGAAGTGTCCTGTATTCAATCTCCAAATGTGGAGGGCGGGTTTTAGAAACATAAGGGATTTGGTTTATGAGTATGTGCCGGGGTTCATGGGGGCACGGGTGATAGTGGATGAGGTGAGGGGTACGGGGGGAATTATGCAGTTGAGAGTGGCGGAAGAAATCATGGAGAGGGTGAAAAAAGGTATGCCTGTGGGTTGGGTGAGAATGGTTGAATGTGAGGCTACAAGAAGTGGAGAGAGCGTGGCAGAAATGTATGTGGGGGAGGGGGATTACTTGTGTTAAAATGGAGAAAAGTAAACACTAGGGTGATTTACAAAATGCTGAGGGGCGGTAAAATAAGAAGACCTGCTTCTGAGCGGGTGTGGGAAAATGTTTTTGAAAGGTTGATGGGCGGAAGGTGTGGGGAAATTTAAGGGTGAAATGGAATAGCATTGAATGTGAGCACTTTGATTTTCTTTTTCGTCACAACAGGGTGTACAACAATCTGATCATAAGCAGGTTTGATGTCACGGTGAAGAAAGAGTGTGATGTGTGTAAGGTAATGGTCGAAACGTGTATGCATGAATTTTTTGAATGTGGAGAGCTGAAAGTGTATTTTGAACGGTTGAAGGGGCTAATTGATAAGTGTTGGGGGGATAGAATATTAAAAACGATGGTATGGAAGGAGTTGTGGCTGTTTTGGGATGAGTGGGGGAGTGAAAGGACCCAATGTGAATTTCTGCAACTATGTGCTGAGCCATGCCCGGTATGCTGTAAAAACTCAGGAGAGACTTAGCCCATTTTTGGGAACAGAAAGGTGGACGTATGGGATCTGTTCAAAGGATTTTAAGCAAGGACGTTCAGATAGCATACGTGTACCTGGAAAAGGATGCTTTTCTGGAGAACTTTGTGGATGGGTGCACTCTGGTGGAGGTTGGTGACAATGACAACTGGTGTTTAAATATGATAGTGTTGGCTAACATGTGGTGTGAAACGTAAAGTATGGTTTGTATATAAATGATTGCCTGTTTGCTGTGTTTTTGTTTCTCGTTTTCTGTTTTTGTATTTTCAGTTCCTATGATTGAACAACCCAAGTAAGATCTATTTGTTTTTTGGCAATCTATTTTGGCTAATTACATTCAGTTAATTTATTTTATTTTGTCATGTTTTGCATGATGATTATTTTTGATTGTTTTAAATGTAGGGCCACGTTGAAACCACTTGTACATTTTGTTAATATTAAATTGTGAATTTTCTAATAAAAAGACAAAAAAAAACGGCACGCTCACCGTTATCTCCCTCAAGGTAGGACTCGCGGGTTTAAGGTGGTTTTATGGTCTTTTCAATGAACCTATGGAAGGGTCTCAGGTCAGTTTGGATAGGGCGAGGGCAAGATACGTTTTCCCATCATGGAGGGAAACTCTTCAGACATTCAAAGCACGAGACCTGGGGCCTCATTTATAAAGCTTTGCGTAGGATTCACGTGGGAAGGTGGCTTACGTAGGACAAAGCAAATAAATACGCACAGACATTTTCCGATTCATAAAACACAGCGTACCGGCGACTTGCCGGTTTCTCTATTTTATAAATCACAATCAACTCGAAATGCCGCGCAGCTTTTGCGGGCTTCACGTAACGCCCATCTTTGCCTATAAATAGTCAAAAAAGCGCCCCGTATTAATATTCATCATGAAGAAGATCGCAGGAAATGACGACAGAACAGCTAAAAAAGACATTTCACACCGAGTCAGATTTTGGTTCTTTTGGGGAGGTGGAGACAAATCACATTGTTTGGTGGATGCAGTTTGAACCAGAGTAGCAGCATGGAGGTCGGATCGTCACCTAAATAAGTGGTCCGAAAAAAGTTAATGACAAACAAAATACACATAACCTTCCTCAGGCAGTGTGTCAGTGTGTTTGTGCCGTTGACAGGAGACACCCCCCCCCCCCATGATGAGAAACTGTAAGAAAGTATCGGGGAATCCCTCCGGAGTGGAGTCATGACGACTGGATCTGAATTATTAATTTGTATTTGGTGGTTTGTGTTCCAGCTGTCGATCAGCTGTGCGCAGCGTCTCCACTGCAGCCTGTGCGTCTCAACCCCCCCTCCTCGCAGCAACTCTATATCCACCAGTTAACATGAAATAAAACACACGTGTTGTGTTAAATTAGCTGCACAATTTACCACATCGGTGTTCTTAGTTTCCGTACCTCCTGTGTTTTACGAGCGACTTATCAAGTATTGAAGAACGGCATAAAACATGATTTAAACATGATGGTATATAAAACCATGCTCGTATCTATCTAACCTATAGAAAAGCTACACGGCGTCAGTTTAAAGTAATTCTGTCCTTCTGCTTACCGCATCATTTAACGGAATACATTTGTTAACAAGAGAACATCGAGAGGTGATCAATAACATTTCCGTATTTATGTATTTCTCCAATGTGTGTGTGCACTGAGGAGTCTCAAACAGGCGGTTGTTTCATCATTTTAAGATTGGCTTTAATCAAGTTTTGCAAAGTAATTCTTCATATATGATAAATGAGAGGTAACATTCTATTGATGGTATTATTTCCACATATTTCTCTCCATTCTTCCTTCGCCCAACGGTGTCGCAGTTTCTCGTCTCTCCCGTTGTTGTGCGTACCGCGTACGGATGGGTCAGAGTGTGCGTGGAGGACCCGCACATTTCCCCCTGAAGTTAGTTTTTTTTTAAATCGCAAACAGTGCGTAGAAACTGGCGTACGCCATCTTTTGAGCGTACGCCACCGTTTAATATGGTGTTTTACTCCAAGTTGTAATAGTTTTGAAGCAACTTGTAGGTGTTTTTGCAGAGTGTAGAAGTGCTCATAACCAGCCGAGCAAACCGGGCAACCTGGCTATGGACGTTTGCCTCACTTCTTCTAGCTCTTATTATTCTTTATAACATCTGTTTTTGTGTTTTATAATCCATAGAGCTTGAGTATGAGCGTTCCCCTCCTGGATGGAAGCCAGGAGGATCTATTACTCTGTCAAAGTAAGCCTGGTTTTTTAACCTTCTTTAATGCTATATTGAATTGTGTTTGAGCTGGCAACTATTATGTTGGCGTTTGTTTTTTAAAAAGTCTACTGTCCTCTAGTGCTTTTTTATTTTTATTTTCTGTCAATAGTTCTCTAGTGTGCAGATTGTGGGCAATATAATTGGACTAAGTGCTTGTGTTACAGGCTCCTCTCCCTCTGGGGGAACCTTGTCTGCTTTCAGTGTAGGGACTGCACCGGGTGACACTTTAAAAGGGTGAGTAAACTAACTCTCACTGTAATCATTTTGTAGAAGTTGTGCTTTGAGTAGTGCGTGCTTTTGTTCTCTTTGTGTCCCTCAGTTAGCAGGCATTGTGACCTAGTGGACCAGACCTGCCCATCTGAGGAGGGGAAACCCACCATGTCAGTGTAAAGTATGTTCACCCTGTTACCCGTTGACACCTGCTGAACATTGACATGTTAACATGTATATTTGTGAAATAAAGCTACATTCTATTTGGTCATGAATGCCTCTGTTATTGTCCTCGTGAAGGGAAGCCCCAACATCGGCAAAGCAACTTCGAATTTAGATTGAGGGTCCACAGGTTCCTCCATCCCCTCAACAGGAGTTGGTGTTGTCAGCTATTTAAAGGGGACCCCAGCCACAGTTACCACATATGCATCAGAGAGGGTGTTTTCACTGTTGGCCTAATATATGATTAGTCAACTGAACTTGGCAACACTAAACACAACCACACCTTAACATAAGCAGAAACAGACTACCTGGTCACCTGGAGATGTCGCACTAAACCTTCTATACATTGTTGACAAGGAGTAAATGATATTAAATCAAATATTGGCAGTGCTAAACATTGCCAGACCAAAACAAATGTTCTTTACAATCTCCAGATGATGTTGGTCAGGAGGGATAATGGTCTGTTTTTAAAACGCTTTCTAGCACGTGAAGACCAAGCTGCCCATCACACTAAAGCTTTGTAAACATTTCATCGAGCCACCACATTACCACAAATAATTCCCAGCTTGTGCAAAATGAAGATGAACATTATGCAAAACAGACCATAAGCTTGTGTGGATATATCGTATAAAACATAATGTATTCATTTCAGGGAGACTTGTTGCTTTGTGTTTCTTTTCATTTACAACTGATGTCGCACTGACTTGCTCCTCTGCTGCCCTCCAGTGGCCACAAGGCACAACAGGTACTTTTACATTACAGCATGTAGCTCCAAAGCACACAAGTGTTTCCTTCTGAAAACGCACTTGCACTTTACGAAAGCTCTAAACATGGCACATGAACACAAATATAAACTATATACAATACAATCAGGAAGATAATACAATATGAATGCTCTAATAACAGTGAGCAGAGATGTGTTTTGATGTGTGGGCATAATGTACAGCAGGGGTAGGCAAGTAAGTTTGGCCGTGGGCCAATTTTTTGCTGAGCCACAAGATGGCGGGCCAGAACATAATCAAAGCCTAATTCAAGGAATTGATTTTGGTAAGAGGGCGCAGCGCCCCTGTTCCCCGGTTCAGAAAAAAACTCTATCGCTGATAACCCTCCCCATCAACACTCTGATGCGCAGTCAGATCCGCTGATTGGTTCACTGATGATATAGGCACCCAATCCAGAGCCTCTGGATAGACCCGCCCAAAGGGAGGCTCGTCGTCTCTAGCCCCATTTCAGTCCCATGTTAAAAGTCAGGGCTATTATCTGTATTTTAACAGACTTATCTTTTAAATTGAGGTGTATTTATTGTTCTCTTCAAAGTTTATTTTTTTCTGAAATTTTAGGGAGGATGGTCCTCCCTTTCTTCAATGGACGAGCCTCCACTGAGTGAGTTAGTAACTAGGTAGCAGTGTTATTTAACATACTTTTATTCTGATAAGTATTGTCAAGTTCTCTGGGTTTTTGGCATTTATTTTGAGTGTTTGCCCACATTTGAGAGGCTTGAGGGGCCAACAGAGGAGCATGGACAACTGGAATCCTTTTTCCTTTTCTTTATTTCAACTTTTCAAGAACACATTAGGATTCTTTCAGGTTGAAAACCTTTAAAAAATACAAATAATAAATGACAGCATGTTTTGCTTTGCAATTTATTTAATATATTATAACCTAAATTAATCAGTAACCAAGTATTTTACTCAAACTCAATGTATTAATACTTAAAGGGGACCTATCATGCAAAATGCACTTTTGTACGTCTTTTCTACATGAATATGTGTCCCCGGTGTTCCAGGGAACTCACCAAGTGTCAGAAAACACAACCCTCTCTATTTTCCTCCATACCCAAATCTCTAAAAAAGGGGCTGCAACGGATCTGATAAAAACTGATCCAGATTTGAACACGGTCCTGACGTCAGGACGGTGGCGCTACGGCTATTGGGCCAACTCTCCACCTATCAGGGGAATGTGGGGTTGGGCCACGGCCGGCCATTGCCGCTTGAAAGCGCTGGAGACTCTGTAGTACATATGCCAGGCCTGTAAGTGGCGCTGTAGTCTGCCACAAAAGCAGTGAAGAAGACTTCCCGCGCATGGTTGCCATGGTTACCCTTCTGTTTATTCTCCGCTGTGGCTTTTGTTCTCCCTCCCCGAGGCAAGCACTGTAATTCTCTCCGGTTAGTCCACCAGCAGATGACAAACACCCACCTCTCCGCCTCTTCCAAGGAAACGAGGGGACCGTGCGGCAGAGTTTCAGTTAGGTTTTCTTTCCCCGGTCAAGATGTCCGTTAAAGTTGAAATCTTCCGGACAAAATTTGAAAAGTGCCGGTCTAAGGTCTTCTTTGTTATTTATTGAGCTTTAAAACAAATGAATAACGACTCTATAATAATATAAGAATAAAACACGGGAGGACGGAAGATCTCTTTTTCTCCCCCTCTTCTGACTTGATCAGAGCACGCTCCCCTCTCCTGCAGGGGGCGTGGTCAGCTGCAGCTCACAGAATCAGCCCCCTGCAAAAACAGGGCTGGGAGAACAGCAAATAGAAGTGAAATGAGGCATGGCTAAAATGCATGATCTGTTTTGTATTTTGAAAACAGAAACGTTATAAATATACCTTATATAGGTATGGCCCTACAATATATCATTTAAATATAGCATGATAGGGTCCTTTAATTAAGTACTTTAATTCAGGGGTTCCCAACCTTTATTGTGCCAAGGACCGGCAGATACTTAAAAAAAAAACGCGGACCCGGTTGTCAATTTTAACTGATTTTAATATTTACTCACCACCAGCAGGTAGCAACAAGAGGCTAATTGTATGTAACAGCCTGAAACAGATACTAGAACAATATGCATCCAAAACATATTAACAAAGTTTAAAAAAGAACCGGTTGTCATTTTTTGGTTTTTCGGAAAACCAAAAAACCGACGTTATTCAGTTTTTAAACCAAAACGGGAAAACAGATAAATTAACGTTTTGGTTTTGTTTGTATGATTTACGGATAATCCAGTGAATGCTGGGAAGAAACGAGGAGAAGCCGCATTATGAACACTGGCATTTGTTTTCAGAAGATATTATGATAGTGTCGTTCGTTCCGGTGCACTCCGACAGCATTAGCACTACATCGAGATTAAGATTAAACTAATTTATTTTGGGAACAGCCCGCATATATGGAGTTAGCCATATGTGTGTAAATTACTGTTCATAAACATTTGAAAACAAATGCCGGTGTCGGACAGACACAAACACACCGAACACACAGAGCTGAGCTGAGCAGAGCACATACACACACACATCATGCGCCTTGGTGACTGACTGGACATCTCCTTCATAAAACTAATAAAAGGGGGAGTAATCGGGCAGTTCGATGTGTGTAGATGTGTGTGTATAGGTGTGTGTGGTTAACACGTAGCAGCCTGCAGTCACTCTTAAACTGTTCTGATGAAGTTAAACACAGTCATACTGGTGCTGCACTTCTCAGAAGCGGAGTATACGTGCCGCTGCCTCCGGATGCTGCAGCCGTTTTTAAAGAAGTGAAGGAGGGTTTCCGTCTATAAAGCAGCTGCGGGCAGCTGCGGGTCCGAGAGTCCCGGACATTAATTCATAGATCAAGGCAGACTGGTTTACTCTTCTGTTTTGCAATCCGGTGCTTAAACAAATAGCTCTACACCCCTGGCCGACATGTCCTTAAAATGAAGTCCGAGTTTGAAATATATCTCAAATAATGTATGCACCACCATTTCCCCACATAAACATAACAGTCTGCAATCAAAACGGTTGTCTCCTGTGCGCTCCTCTTCCTACTTGGCGCACCGGTAACATGCTCGTGCGCACGAGAGGAGACCTTATAAGGCTGAGCCGCCGAATCCCTCATCATAAAAGCCATTTTCAACGGTTTTTCTGGTGAAAGATTAACTAGCTACTGGATGAAATAATATGACTGGTGGCATAGGTGCGAAAATTAAACACTTTTTGAAAAAAATATTATGATAAATATTTTATATATTTATAATTCTGCAAATATTACGATAAACTCACAGCTATTTCGCGGCCCGGCAGTAACACCTCTGCGGCCCGGTACCGGTCCGCGGACCGGGGGTTGGGAACCCCTGCTTTAATTGACGTCAGTGCACCCCGCTGCCTGATTGTGCCTGTGCTGTATGTCATTCATTCTCAACATAGATAAAAGTACAATAAGCATTCTTCAGGTGTAGGTAGATTCTCTATTCGGACATTATAGCCTATATGTGCGACTGTCGGTCCGATGTTGTAAAAAAAAAAAAAAAAAAAAAAAAAATCTCAAAATTTTTTTTTTTTTTTATTCTCAAAATTACGGGCCAAATATTATTGCTGGCGGGCCAACAATGGCCCGCGGGCCGCCTGTTGCCGACCCATGATGTACAGGGTAATAGTCAAATGACTGCCACAAGGCCTTTCTATGACACTGAATAGGAACAGACCACAGCTCTGATTTAGGAGATCTTGCTGACCAACAATTGCTGAATAGGTTTAACAAAAAGCATCTTTCAAATGAGACTTTCTCAGATTAACCCTTTAACTGCCAGACCAAGAAAAAGCTATGGGAAAAATTATTTGTTTGCATTTTTTATCAAATGGGCCACAACTAACCACAAACAATTTTTTTTTTTTTTGACTGACCACACAGTTTTGTTTTTATGAGCCTGTACCAACTGGTCGAGCTGGCCTAGTAAAAGTGCATTTTCAACAATCATATACAGTATTTGTATGCATCAAACTCAAATAAAACACAAACTGAATACATTTGTTTCTTTATGGAAAATGAGCAATATATACAACCAGATATCCTGGTACTAGACTCCTAGTACTAGACTCCTGGTACTAGACTCCTGGTACTAGACTCCTAGTACTAGACTCCTAGTACTAGACTCCTGGTAATAGACTCCTGGTGCTAGACTCCTGGTACTAGACTCCTGGTACTAGACTCCTGGTACTAGACTCCTGGTGCTAGACTCCTGGTACTAGACTCCTGGTACTAGACCTCCTGGTGCTAGACTCCTAGTACTAGACTCCTGGTA